AACAGGCTCAACAAAACAGTTTGGCAGCTGTCTTGTGTGTCTCATATATATATATATATTAATATGTTATTATGTTGGGAAGGTGCAGCAGAAGGAAGGAAGGGTGTTGGGTACTGTTGGTTGGGTAGTCGGGCGTTTTTATCAATTTCATGATGAAGGCACCTACTACCTCCCGTGTGACACGGGTGAATGGCTAATAATAATCCTCGTCGCAATAATACAGGCCTTTGTGCGTCCAGAAAAAAATCGCTTCGGATAGAGAAAGGAAGGTGAGAGAGGGGCAGACGCACTACGCTCTCATGGATTTATTTCTACCAATCAATTTCTACGTGTCTCAAAATTTACTGAATGTGAGACAGGGATCCGAGGCCTGCTGTAAGGTACTACTACAACAACAGACTACATTAATTACATTTGGAGCAGCACGGCTTCGTCCACTGTATGTAGTACTGTCCAATCATAAATAATAACTGAAACACGCAACACGCCGCCCGGAAGATAGATCTCCGACAGTCATCGGACGTCACAATCTTCTACACGACTGACTATATTACTACGCCGTTGTACTAATACTGCTGTCTGGGGTGGACATTCATTCTGCTGTCTGAATGAAATATGCATAGAGTAGTATAGTAGGAAGAGCGTGGCAACCTGCTGTGGTTGTGGCAAGCCCCCATCTGAATTCATCACAGAGCTCGATGAGCAATCATCATGGATGGATGAGGAGGGTGGATGGATCCCCTCGTCCGTGATTACCGTATATGACACAAGATAACACACCCCCTTGGCCGATTTTCAAAGCTCGATTTCTCAACAGCAGGAAGAGTCACAGCGCCGAAAACGGCGGCGTTGGAACCGTCTCATCGAGAGCTGTTCGAAAACGTATTGTTTCATTTATGCATCCTCTTCGTCGTGGAGTAATCGAGCTTTGAAAATCGGTCCAGGGGGTGTGTTATCTTGTGTCATATACGGTATCACTAAATAAACGTATCCCGTTCACGTGAGGCCGCACGGCAGTCTGCGGACCCCGGGGTATACATCCCGTTCGACTACTTACTGCTGTGGGTTGTTGTTGTTGTTGTCTTCACATTAAAAACCGTTCCGATCTCTCTCTACCCAGTACCTTCGTATGTCCGTACTGATCCAACACTCGACGCGGTCGATTCCCGTGGTCACAGGTATATTATCTCGAATTTGGATTCCAGAATCTATCTGTCGTTGATTTCTATTGACTTGCGGACCCCTCGGGGCCAGTTTATTTGAGTGTACCTTTTTAGGGTAAGTTAACCTGTGACCACGGGAATCGACCGCGTCGAGTGTTGGATCAGTACGGACATACGAAGGTACTGGGTAGAGAGAGATCGGAACGGTTTATAATGTGAAGACAACAACAACAAGACAGTAGTGGGCCCTCTATAGCGCCGGTTGAATAGTGCCGGTGCCCGGTATAGTGCCGGTTAAATTTCTGGACACCGACAGCGCCCTCAATAGTGGCGGACCGGCACTATTGAGGGATGGCCCGTCATAGTGCCGGTTGGGCGCCGCTGTGCCCCCCAATAGTGCCGGTTCACTACCTGCTGTAGACACACACACACACACACTACTACCGGTCGCCCCGCCCGGTGGTCTAGTTGGTAGTATCCACGTTAACCTTCTAAGTTTCAGGTCATGGGTCCGAGCCCCGGCGATTTTTTTTTTTTTTCTTACTTACTTTCGTTCCTGAAAGAGTTGGAAGCAATTTCTCCTGAAGAATTCGTTAGTAAATGGTGCCTTGGTGCATCAACTTCACTGTTGACGAGGGTGGGAGTACTGAACCCTTTCGCGATAAAAACAATCATAGGCATGTACCGCAGAAGGGGGTCCAGCCCCCCCCTCCTGTGTGACCCCGGTTGGGTCGTCTAGCTAGTCGTAGTGGAGGATGTGGGCCAGTTGTTATAGGATTCAGATGTGTAGACGGAACATAGAAGAGCTTGGTTCCTTCTAGAAGGCGCGGAGAGATGTAACTCTCCGCGGAAGGATAAAAAGCAGGGGACAGGATCTAGTAGCCCCTGCTTGTGCAGAGGATCCTGTGCCCCTTGGTGTCATTCCTACCGATACCCAAGGCAACAGCTACTGCTGCTGCTGTTCTACAAGAGTAACAACAAGTGAGTTCTTCTTCACGGGTCAACCAGACTTCATCACGCGTGCATACCACTACACTTGGCGTCGTCGGCAGGACTCATACCACTACACAGTGGGGCAGACGACAGAAACAATAATAATAATGAATGGGAGAACAAAACAAACACACACATACATGTATGTGTGGAGCTATGTATACATGTATGTGTGGAGCTATGTATGTGTGGAGCTATGTTTGTGTTGCTATGTATGTTGTTTGAGTCATCTAGCTAGCTGCTGACACGATGATGACTGACTGTTGGATCTTGGGAGTGTACGATTATCAAACTGGGAGATGCAGCATACATACCACGATATCCTGGTTTCGGCTGGGCTTGAATTAACCCTTTTTTTGCTGTCCTCCGCGCTCTTTGCATCATCAGTGGCTTCCTAGGTTCGAGCAAGGGCATGTATGGGAGCTATGGCGGCAGGTGTATGTATGTGTTGCTATTTTGTTCGGTCATCTAGCTGCTGACACGATGACTGTTGGATCTTGGGAGTGACGATAATCAATCATTATCAAATTGATTGGGAGATGAAGCTTACCACGATATAATATCCTGGCTTCGGCTGGGCATGAATGAACCCTTTTTTTGCTGTCCTCCGCTCTTTGCATCAGTGAGTGGCTTCCTAGGTTCGGGCGAGGGCACTTGTTGTTGTGTAGCTGAGATGTATGTCTACATGAAATATATATATATATATATGTAGAGAGAGTCGTATTATATATTTAGCATTCGCATTTATTTAGCGCATTGCGCATTTTTCGAATTTTGGCCCCCTTCCAGGGACCTTGATTTGTACCCGCTGGCACTGACGTATTTTCATTGGTCAGCCGGTTAGCGCGGTCGATGCTATTAGTAAAAACACACACACACCACGACACACCAGAGAGGACAGACGCCACACCGAAAAGAGTGTACACCAGCTGCTGCAGACCATAAGAGCTCTACGCAGAGAGAGGCGCACCATGCCTTGTGCGGAAGGTGAACTGTGCCTTCAACAGGACAGAACGCCGCAAGACCCTCATGGCCACGTCTGCCAGGGAGGATGTGGCGGGCGGCTCCACGGCAATTGCGGCATGCAGACATGATGAGAGAATTTGTTGCTCCTACGGAGTAAGGTTGGGGTACAGCTGTTGTAGCAATGGTTGTTTGCTTTTCTTCCGGTGCGCTTCCTGTCTGTCGTGCTTTTCTTTTTTTTTTTTTTTTCTTCTTCACATCCAAGAGTTGCTGCTACGTCGCGAGGGCGGGGAGAACAGCTGTGTGTGGTGGTAGAGTATGTAATGGCCATCCATTTATTTTCCGTGCGGTGCGCTTCCTGTCGTGCTTGTTGTGTTCTTGGGGTTGTTTTGATTCTTTCTTGCGACATCCAAGGGGGTGCGCCAGGCAGGCATGAAAAAGTTAGTTGCTGCTACGTTGCGAGGGCGGGGAGAACAGCAGCTGTGTGTGGTAGAGTGTTTAATAATGGTCGTTTATTTTTCGTGCGGTGCGCTCCCTGTCAAGGTTCTCTGTTGTCTTTTTTTATCTGGCAACATCGAAGGAGGGCAACGAGGACTTAGACGTCCACTAATAATACACATACATATTCGATCCACGATCCACATCGTACTCTGTTGGCCCCGCAAAGCTTGAGCGCTGCACCATGAACTCAACACCTATGGGGATATTCGAAGCCTCAATAGTGCCGTACCGGCACTACTGAGGCACTATTCTGAATTCTGCCGGTGCCCGGTATAGTGCCGCTTTTATCTCTGGACACTACCCGGCACTATAGAGGGCCCACTACTCGAATGGGTAGTCTTTCTGTGTGTGTTTTTATTATTCCTTAATACTATACGTTCATTTTGGTTCTCGACGAGATCTGATCTTTCATCTGTCAAAATCAGACAGAGGTGGATTGAAGAAATTATTTTCTCTTGTTCTCTTTCCAGCTACCTCTCGCTCTCGGTCTGCTGCCCCTACAGCAGTAGTAGTACCTCTGTACCTCCTCGTCACGACAAGCTACACCTGCCCTCGTGTTCTGCGGCACCGCACAGCAACAGTCCGCCGGCGGCGGCTTTTCGAAAACATGCGTTGTTGTCGTTGGATAGAATGCTATTTGGCGGCAGCAGCAGCGGTCCTACCCGCCGTCTCGTACGCATACGCGAAGCAGCATGATGAGGGTCAAAATCTTCGCCACGAGCAGTCGCAGCAGCAGCAACAGCAGCAGCAGCAGCAGCAGCAGCAGCAGCGTCTAGGTGTTGTCGTTCCGATCTACGATGGAGACCTCGCCAATGCTGTGCGGTCCCTGGACCGATGGCCCACCAGGTGCTCGCCCCTGACCCTCCAGAATGTCGGCCTGGTGCTTTACACCGCGGAAGAACCGAACGGCCCCGCCGCTCTCTCCACCCTCGACAGCATCTCCAACACCGCGGGACGTTGCTTCTCAGGAACCCGGATCGTGTACGCCAACCTTTCTCAGGAAGAGGTGAGGAGACACACAAAAGCGTTGATTTTTGGGTTGTTGGGCACACCACGCCGCGTTGTTGGTTGTCGCATCAGGCGCGAAGGCCACACACGTGAGAAGCAAGCCAGGCAGGTTCGCTGCTTTCTCCTCGCGCATGGTGTGTGTGCTACTGGCATGCATCCGCGCATGCGTATGTGACGGCAACAAGCACAATTCCGCCGCAGTAACAAACGGCTTTGTGGGGTGTTTTGTTCGTTGACAAAGAAAGACGAGCAACACGGCGTGATGGATACTCCTGAAACCACATCTACCTCTACACCGCAAAACACGTAGACTGCATTCTAGTAAAGAGAAGGTTGTCACCATCATCCACCTAACTGCATACTCTTCGCGCTCGAGCTGGCTGGCCCTCGCCCTCGCCAAGAACAAACGAACCACAAAGACAGAATCGGAGAGGAGATGATGTCGTGCGTGCGTGCTTGCTCGGCGTGCTTGCTGGTCGTGCGTATTTTCTCTCGATCGTGGTACAACTGTAGTCAGTAGTAGTAAATACTTCGGGAAGGATGTGTGTCCTTACAACAATAGTTCTCTCTGCGTTGCACAGCAGTGGTGGGGGTTCGACAAGATGATCGACTTTCGCGTTGTCGGCACGCCGGAGATCTTTTGCTGTGGCTGTGCAGGCTGCAGCCGCGGCGAAAAAAATGCCACCCGAAAATGATCTGATTTACATACCGTTCACAATCCACTGCTGCACGCACCGCCATGCGCACCCACTCCCCTGCGGGTGACCAGCAGTATAGCCCACACCACAATTCCTTGGGCGGCCGGGAGTTTTGGGCACTGGATCTGTGATGGCGCGTACAGCAGTGGATCGTGAATGGTATGCATGTGGCATATCATACGACCCAGACAATAATTCGCGGACAAAAGTTGGACCGCACGTAAGGCTCTCCACAGGGCGCGCCCCCAACATCATCAGATCTGTCGGCGTGCGGACGTGCGCGTCGCTGCTCCGTTATGCCCTCCACTGATTTCCGATCGATACACACTGAGGGGCAAGGTCCTTTTTATTCTTCTTATGCATATGTATATATTCGACGAGTGTATCCGAAGCGGGGGTTGGTTGTGTCCAAAACAGTGGCTGCAGCTTGCCAACGGTCTGTGTACATGTAGTGTAGATCATGCGGTGTACCCCTGGCGTGGGCACATTTGCATGTTGGACCCGCCTGTTCTACACAGAAGGCACTGTATAATCCGCTGTAAGCATCGTCACCACTTTGTTTCACATGCATTCATTTACCAATTGATAGAGTTGATAACAGTCTAATGTTGACCAACGAACGACAACCTTACAATGTTCGACGAGACCACGGGTTGCTCATCACGCCCTAGTCTAGCTGTATCTTGTGTAGACTATCCTGCCCGTTCATGGTGGTCCTGCCTCGCGCTGCTGAGAGGAGCCTTGCTAACATGAGGCACGAAACGCCTCCGCCGTCCCTGGGGACATACGTACTCTGTAGCGGGTTGTCCTCCCCTGAATCTTACGGATGCCTGCTCTGTTAGGGACAACTCTTATAGTTTCCGGAAACCATGTGTGTCCTTGTTTACCACGGTTCGACGGCGTGTTGTGTACTTGTACTGGAGCAGCCGGAAGAGGTCTGCGCCCTCTGAGGGGGCATTACCCTAACAGATATGCTTGCGTCGTTAAAACCCCTAGGAGCAGCTCGGAGGTCTTAAAGAAAATGAAGGTTTGCTTGCGTCGTTGAAACCCCTAGGAGCAGCTCGGAGGTCTTAAAAGAAAGGTCGATTTGTATTCCCATTTCGTGCTTACAGGATGACGTCTACCCGAAAGCCCCCTCCATCATGTTCTACAACATGTTCCTCGACGAGAGTGTTCGCTCCAGCCTCTCCGAGTACGACGCGCTCTCCATCATCGAGCCGGTCGTGCTCGTCGCCAGCGACAACTCCTTCGAGGAGCTCTACCACGCCGCGTTCCGCGTGAATGAGGAGTTCTGGGTGAAGGGCAGCAACCTCGAGGGCACCTCGTTCCCCTCAAGCGCTGAGGCGTCGGGGATGTGGCAGGTGCTAGGCCACATCAACGGCAACGCCATCTACAACAACGACGACCCCGCGTTCGTCGAGTACGTGGAGTACACCCGGGCCCACTGGGGATACGAGCACCCGTACGACGTGGCGCTGGGGATGACCATCTCGGACTTCCCGTACAGCTGGCCTCTCTACCAGCGGTACTCGAGCAAGTTCGTCGTCACCAACCTGGTGGGTAACGGGGGCGGGGTGGTAGGATGACATCGACGAAACCTTGTTGTGATTTCGAGTAGCTTCGCGTTTGAAGCACGGCGACCAGCACCGTTCGTGTTTGAAGAAGATCGCGCTGTACTTTGCGTTCCAGCGGTTGTCTGTGCACACGGTGGCGTCGATGAAGCTCCAGTTACGATAAACAATGGTACGAAGTTAATTTGTCGCCTTGAGGAGATCTGAGTAGGGCAAAGAAATCAGGAAGAATGTAGCCGCCTGGTTGTCTCGAAAATCGTGATGAGAGTGCACCAGTCACTCCTACGTAGACAACTACAGCAGGTACACAACGATTATTCGCCCGCAACCTGGCGTAACGCATGAGACCCAATCCCCCGCCCTTCTGCTGGGTCAGCAATAACACCCGTCCCACCCGTTGACTTCTCCATGCCCGCTCCTTTGCACGTCCGCTACCGCGTGAATCGTCTTCAAGATCTCGTACGTCGGAGACGAGCACGTGACCCAGGACACAGTCTCCGACGCCGTTGCCGGCAAGACTCTTTTCGTCCACGGCGGTGGCGTAGCGGACGTCAAAACCGCCTCCGCCCCCCCCGCCCCCGTTGCCGTCCAAGAAACTGCGCGAAGGAGCCAGCGTCGCCGAAAACTCCAGAAGCGGAAGACGCGGGAGAATTGGAGGAGGGGGCATGCCGGCGATGAAACCCCCAAGTGCGTAGGCCGCAGCAGCTGGTATTGATTCTTGCTGTTGACTTGATGATTTGTTATTATCTTCCGGCCACAACGAACGGAGCAGTTGGCCATGTTCCACCTGCATCGCATTGCCTCGTACAACAGCTAACGTCCCGCCGCCGCTCCCCGTCTCCTGGCGCTCCTAACAGGTGCTTGGACGGGTGCGAGTACACGAGCAAGGATGGGACCAGGGGACGCGTGTGTGACGCGAACTGCTCGAGGCGTGACGTGTACGGTACCCTCGGATGCGGCACCAAGGACGGAGCGTACGGGACGGAATGCCGCGCTTGCTACAACGACGGCGGCAAGGCACACAAGCAAGATACACCGGAGAACCGGGTGATCATGTGAGACGCGTGATGCGCACGGCGTGGCCTTGGGCGACCTCTTGCTAGCGGCTGCGCCTGATGAAATGGAGATAATCAAGATTGCCTGAATCATGAGCAACAGTTTCAAACTCAGGCTTGCATATGGTGACATCCTCCCCTGAACGATGTATGTATGTGGGATACAGCTCGCCTGATGAGACCTGTGCTGCCAAACATGTGTCCAGCGCAGTGCTGTAGCGGTTGCGGGATGACGACGGCGGCTGGCGACTTTTGTTAGACGCTGTCGACCAAGCTTTGTTGGACGCTTTTCGCTTGTCGCTCGACGCCTCGCCTGACGCACCCCGTTCTCCTGCCTTCCTCTCCCGCCCGATTGATCTCGACAGGTGCTCGACCGCGATGCCAGTGGACGTTCGCGACCTTTGGCTATCTACGGACAGCGAGGACCATTCTCTTCAAATCGCGCACGCGATGGAAGCAGAGGATCGCGAGGAGGAAGCGGAGGGCAGCTTCGAGCGTGTAGACGTCGATGGTATCAGGGAGGGCGTGATCTCCTTTTTCGAGGAGGAAGCCGAACGACCGTTTTTCCAGGACCTGAAGCGCGGCAACCTGTGCGCCTTCGTCAGTGGTCGGGTAGACGAGGAGGCCATGTGGGAGGTGACCGTGAAGAGCATCCTGCAGTTCATGCCGGGCATGAGGGTGGCCATCGCGGCTGGGGCGAAGGGACTCGACGCATACGAAAGGTGTGTGTGTCGGGGTGTTGTAGGAACACTTTGTGCTGGCCTTCCGGTGTGTGCTGCGTCGGTCGTCCACGTTGAGGTTTCCCGTGTGTAGAAGGACAATCGGGTTTTAATGAAACTCTCCGTCCGTTTACCGTACTCGAGCATAGGTGTCCCTATACAGACCGTGTGTTCTTTCGTCGTGTTCGTTTCCCTCCTACTCGACCCCGGACAATTCTAGGTCCATGGGCGGTCTCCCCGGTGTCACCATTTCCAGCACCCACAACCCCGCCACGGCGAGCCTGTTCGCCGATCGGTTCTGCGGGGCCGGCACCGCTCTCATCTTGTACGTCGAGCTGGGGTCCGTTCTCTCCCGGCCCTTCACCTCCAAGGACACCCACTCCCCGCGGGGCGACCTCCTGGTCGTGCACCGGGGCGGTCAGGGGAGCTACCGCGACGACGAGCGGAGCCGCCGCTCGGGGTTGGTCCTCGGATTGGAGGCGCCGTCCTTCACGCGCGGCACCGACCTGGTGCTGCCGGTCGGCGCAAACAAGGACCTCCGGGGGTCGCTGGGAATGGAAATGCACGCAGACAGCGTACGGCGCGACGGCGTCGGGGCTGCGGTGATGGCCCTGACCGAACCGGCGGACTTCGAGGAAGTCTCCGCCGTCCCTCAGGCAAGAAACCGTGTGCGTGCGTGCGCAGGGATGTTTGTTTGCTTTGTTGTCGTGGGCGGGGTGCTTTGACGCGAGGCGGGGTAGATGATATACCGTGAACTGTTCTAGCTTTAGGGCGGCGGCGCAAAAACATCTGAACGTTGCTTACCCCGAACACGCGGTGTTTTGAAAATCCTTCTGCTGTGCTCTTGTTTTCTTTGTTGCAGATGTTGGCCGCGCTCGCCTATGCCCGCAACACGCCGGGAGTGTGGTTTGGCGACCCCAAGGTCTGGGTGGGTCAACACCTCTTTCAGGAGGCGTCCATCTGGGATATTCCCCTGGTCAAGCCCCGCTTCACCTGTGCCATCGCCCTTGCCCTGGAGCCCGATATCCTACGCGCTGCCACAACTTTGCAAAACAACCTTGACTTCTTCTCCAGAGGGGGGAAATGCGAGGATGGCTTGATCGAATACTTGAGGTAGCTTTGAACCTGTCCGTCGCTCTGTTTTCGGACTTGTGGCGTGGCGTGTAGTTTGGTGTGCGGCTGGTGAACGCTGGGTCGCACGCGCATGCGAGGTTTCCGGGAGGTACGCTGTCATTCAAGTTGGGGCCCAGACTTGTAACATCGCGATATGCGACATGACGTCTTCGACGCTTTCGTCTGGCACCGGCGCTGACAGCCCCCCGAGGGGGAATGATCCTCCGCCGTGAAGCGCGTGTAGAGTATGTACTACTTGGGACTTGAAACTTCGCTTCCGTTCCATGTAAATAGAAGGCCAAGTAAATACGTGTGTTCTGGCTGGCATACAACATACTTTTGTAATTGTTGGACGTTGATTGTTGGTGAACTCGGTTGTTTTTGCCGGTGTGGTAGTCGTTCTGCCTGATACCACGAAAATGCCTGTATAGTATTGTGCCGCTGCTCTTTGTAGGCATGGCCGGCCAGCAGGTGCCCCCGAAGAGCTTTCAACAGGTATCGTCGCGGCCTTCTGATTGTTGGTGTGTGTACAATGGCGATTTGTTGCCGTCCATCCCGAGGAGTGATATATTTTGTTCACCGCGGTGCTAGCTAGCTGTAGACATGCCGCACGTGTTATCACTGTGGTCGCAGCGACCGCAGTAGTATATTTTCTAGCCCCGAATCCAAACTGTTCATTTTGTGTTGTGTCTCTGAATTGCCAAGCATCGGTGATGATGTGCAGGGGCGCTTATTTTTTTCAAGAGAGCATTCATTCAACTACCCGTTGTTTCATGTCACGTTTTGCGTTTTGGGTCAAAGGGTGCCCCTTTTTTTCAGGAGGGAAGAACCGTTGTTATGTGACGCTATTCAATGTTGCGATCGATCGGAGCAGGTAGCGTAAGCCTAGCACACGACGTGCTCTGTCAACTTCCGGCAGTTTTCGAACGACGCGAGGGGGAGAAGTGTCGGTATTGGGTATGGGAAGGAGAAGGTGGGTGGGAAAAATAGCGTCAGTCGACCGTTGACGACGCGTCGGCGTCCTTTTTCGTTTTTTTGGTCGCAGCACATGGATGGATGGGCGTTACGTCGACAGCCGCTTGTATTAGGCTCCGATTGAATGCGAATTGTCCCCCAGACGAATCAATGGAATAAATTATGCATACATACATACGCTTGCGTATTGGTCTGCTTCCGAACAACAGCATTTATTCAGGATCGCTCGTTCACGAGGGCTGCGTGGCTCTGGTGCATGGTGGTGGTGTGGTTTCCACCATCTGTCCCTCCGGGATTTTTTCACGCTGAAAACTCACAGGAAACTCGTGGTGGGCATCTCGCGTCTCGTGGGTCAACCAACAGCGAGCGTACCACACACGACCACGAGCTGGCTAATATAGTCCAGGGGGCGGGCTTGAGTACAAGCCCCGCTATGCTCATCCTTACACACTGCTGTAATTATCGCTCATCAGTCCCGATGACTTTTGTTTGCGTTCACAAATTGGAGTATACAGCAGCAGTAGTGGGAGGCGTCAATTCTCGCCGGCTGAAAAGCGCGGCCGGCACCGGTGGCCCTGAATAGCGCTGGTGAGTCTGCTGGGCACCTGACTGAATCACCAAGTCAATTTGTACATGGAATACTGTAGCGCCAGTCCCTCTTCAAAGCGCCCGTCGATGCGCCGGGCACATACCGGCGTTATTAAGCCCCCCCAACTGCCTACAAATACATGCATGCATGCTGCGAGAGCGCAAAAACGGCCCAAAGAGGGCACTCACCACATTGTTGTTGTGCATTTTCGAGAACGACGTATTATTGTATCCGACGTGTATCCGACGTCGGAGAATGGTTACTCAAGGTAAGTACAGTAATCACGGGGGGATGCCCCCTCTACTGATTATTATCCTCTGTACAACAGTCATGCCGGTCCCCACCGGCTGCTGCTGCTGCTTAATTCATCTTGTGGTGCAGAACCGGTAACCATTGATGATACTGTAGCTATACCGACACGCGCAAACATGTCCATTCTCCCGACACTCTACTACTACTGCTGTGCTACAACAACATACAATACACAATGGATAGATTCATTCATTCCCGGGCGAAGCTCTCCGCTCTCTCCAGCAAAAAAGTGAAGGAAATTTAGAAATTCCCGTTTCACTCGTGGACAAATTGACGTGAATACCCACGAGTGAGTGTGATAACTGAGGGACGTACACCCCTCTCGCACGTCAAACTTTTGAAGGCAACAAGCAACGGCGGCACAGTGAGAGAGAAGGGAATGTTGTTAATATTCCTACAACATTATGTGAAATATCGCTTCGAGAGTATTACGACAAAGAATAATACGAAGTGTGTATGTACTGGATTGATTGGGACATGCGATAATCTGGGATCGGTTTGTCTTTCATCAGCAGGTATGCATAATGTATCTACTCTCCGCTGTTCCAAATCCACATAAAAAATATTTGCTGTGTTTAATCCTCCAGCAGAGAGCTTGCCGCTGTGTGACCCGGCCTGGCGCATGAAAACTGCTGTAATAATTACCGAAATCAAACAAACGTGGACATGGCGGCGCCCAGCAGAAGAATAATATTTACAACTTTTAGCATACTGTAGTACAATGAATGGATATTGATGTAGATGGGGACGGACGACGTAAACAAACCAACATTGTGATGATGTGCGCAGCGTTCTCGTATCTCTCGGAATCTCAAAACCGTTTTTTTTGGCACACACACTCTACAGCAGTAGTATTAGTATCTGTTGAGCATGAGGCAGAAGATGAATTCATCAAACCCTCTCGGTCCGCACAGGGCAGCGTGCACCAGGCAGGTGAACACACAAGTAAATAATCAACGTTTCTCGTTGCTGAATATTTTCCGTGTTCCGTTCCTCTCCCCATCCTTGCCCCGTCTCTCTCACAACACAACACACGCATCACCCTCACCAACCAATTCTATCCACCACACCATCCCCCCCAGTGTTCTCTAGCACACGGTCTCACGACTGCTGTGGCACGGCGTTGTCTAATGCTGCGCCGTATCGTGCGCGTGGCCGCGGTCTTACCCGCCGCGTTCACGTTTGCGCAAGATCATGACCTTAAAGATCCCCAGCAACAACGGCTAGGTGTTGTCGTCCCGGCCTACGATGGCGACCTCGCCAGGGCTGTGTCGTCGCTCGAGCGATGGCCCGCCAAGTGCTCGCCCCTGACCCTCGAGAATGCCGACCTCGTGCTGTACTACGCGGAGGAAGAGAGCAGCGCGACGGCCTCCGCCCTCGAGAGCATCTCCAGCACCGCCGGCCGCTGCTTCTCGAGAACGCGGATCGTGTACGCCAACCTTGCGGAAGAGGTGGGTTGGGGACGAGAATCATCTCTTGTGATTGTTGACCACGACGTGGTGACGCATGAGCGTGACTACGTTTTCCGTGGTAGACCTGCTTTCTCCCTCTCGCATGACGTTCTCGGTACAACATGCGCCAGCACATCACGGGGCAACCCTTCATTGATCCTGCTTGTCAGTCGTACGACTGCTTGTAGATCGGTAGTTTTTTTCAAAGTGCCTCTCGTTTTCTTGTTCAGTTCCTCCCGGAGCACTTACTTCTTCTCATCGAGCCTGGAAGACTTGAGTGAACCAGCCTCTCACGCATGCTGCGCATGCGTGACACCAACATACAGCGGTAGTCTACAATAGACGCCAAAGGCTGCAGAATGGATTGCGCTACTCGCTCGTAAAACGGATTTGGCGCACTGCACGATAGATCCCGTCATGTCTCAGCCTTCTCAATGGTAGCTTTGCAGCGGCATTCAATTCACGATCCGGGTTGTTGTTTTCTCGATTGGAGGAAAAATTATCAGACGGTGATCAGCTGGTAACTGGAAGGCAGATTTGGATTGATTTCCGAAGCGTTGGAACTTTTCGTTCCAGTCACCACGAGGACACCGATTCCGATTTTCTCTGTGCAATCGAGAAACGATGACATGGCAGAGAGACACTCCCCCCTCGTTGTGTCACGCATGACCAACAAAGAGAGAGGCTGCCTGCCATGTGTGAGAGTACGGGAGGGAGCGGAACAACCTGGTTTGCAGTTGGCCGAAGACTGCTGCTGTGACTGGGTATTTCGCTATTATTTCCGCCTTTACTCTTTTTCCATACGGATGGCTCGTTTCTCCGATTGTTCTTTCACATTTCTACACGTGAACGCATCTACAGCACTATCTACAATTGGCAAGATCCATATAGCTACATACAATGCCGGAATAAACCCTTCGCGATGTGCCAAACGCTGAGCTGGCATTCCTGCAGACGGTCTCCTTCTCGTTCCCATCCATGGTTGGAGGGTTGGGTAATAGTGTTCCCCAATTCAAACCTCGACGTTATGTTGATGCTTGAGCGGCGTCTGGGCATCACCGGCACAGAATTCTGAAGAGGAAGTGATTTTTGTTCGAAGATTCTTTTTTCGCAGAAGAACAGAAGTTCATCACAAGCTTCTTTATTGTCGTGGAGAGACGTGAGAGGAGAATTCGCGTGCTTGCATGTTGTGGGCACAGGGCCACATGTTGCGCACCTTCATATACGCTCGTTTACTGAAACGCAGGCGGCATGGTCTTCAGTACCTGTGCTCTCTTCGCGAAACGTAAAGATGCGCAAACCTGCTACATCAATCTATTCGGTGTGCACGCCTGTCAATCAATTTTGGACCTTGGTCGCACAAAATGTATCGATCGCAAGGGAAATGCGAAAAAATTACCCCTTACCCGTCGCGGCTGCTGTGGTGAATCAAGAATCCAACACTGCCGAAAATAACCCGTTGGTGTAGTATGCATTTGTTCAGCTTCGCAGCAGAATGGAATAGTGTCTGCGTCGGACTTACAACGAGCTCCCAGGACGTGATGGCCGGGGCGTTAGAACCATTACACAAAAAACAGGTCTACAAAGTACAGCGTGTATATCTTGTTGCTTGCATGCGAGTTGGGGCCTTCCATTTATTCCCTTGCAGCAACGTTGCTACCTTGCTACCTGTTGCGCGTTGTGCGTCAGACGAACCAAGGGAAAAAATGAAATGGATCGTTTTTTGCGATGGATTCTCGAAAAAGAGTTCGGTGCGTCCAAGCAGCATTTGTTTTATTGTGTATCATATCTTCGCCACCAAAAGTGCCCATTTGCAATCGGTAATTTTGTGGAACCGTTTTAACCCGTCATCGGGTTTCCGTATCAAGATTCTCACTCCCGTACGCCGCGACTGCTCTGCAGTCTGTCAGGCTCTGTTCATACACATCCGAACGTATTGCCATGCCCCATATTGATCCTACAGGTGTACCAGGGATAAAAAGAGGTGGCATGGCAGTATTTACTCGGTTGTACTGGAAAACCGTACTACACGTCTCACCATATACACTGGGGGGACTGTCGCCACAATAAATAGGACGACAACACATGTCCTCAAACAGCAGTACCGTTCAGAGGATGATATATTGCCGGCAGTTTCTGTTTGTCGACGTCATCATTACTATTCGGTTTTCATTGACCTTCATTCCGCCAATCCACCTCTCCCACGAGCCTGCTACCTAGCTCATCGTCTTGTGCTCTTCAGGACGCGTGTGCACTATAACCAAAACCGACCTCCCTCTCTCCATCGCGCAGGATGACATCTACCCCCAAGGCCCCTCCGTCATGTTCTACAACATGTTCCTCGACGAGAGCGTTCGCTCCAGCCTCTCCGGGTACGACGCGCTCTCCATCATCGAGTGGGACGTGCTCGTCGCTAGTGACAACTCCTTCGAGGAGCTCTACCACGCCGCGTTCCGCGTGAATGAGGAGTTCTGGGTGAAGGGCAGCAACCTCGAGGGCACCTCGTTCCACTCGAACGCTGATGCCATCGAGATGTGGCATGTGCTAGGCCACATCAACGGCAACGCCATCTACAACAACGACGACCCCGCGTTCGTCGAGTATGTGGAGTACACCCGGGCCCGCTGGGGATACGAGCACCCGTACGACGTGGCGCTGTGGATGACCATCTCGGACTTCCCGTACAGCTGGCCTCTCTACCAGCGGTACTCGAGCAAGTTCGTCGTCACCAACCTGGTGGGTAAAAAGGGCAACGTTAGTGGGCGGTTCAATTGGCATTCAAGGGTGACGAAAACGCAATGAGAGCCATGGCACACGGCGCAAGCAATCGACGAGTATCCTCATCTATGTAGCTAGAGTATTGCGATGTGGATCGGGAGTATAACTCACACCGGAACGCTGCACTTATATGCCATGGCATGAATCTTCCAGATCTCGTCCGTCGGGTACGAGCACGTCAACCACGACACGGTCTCCGACGCCGTCGCGGGCAAGACTCTGTTCATCCACGGCAGCAGCGTGGACGAGGGCAACGTCGCGTCCTACGAGGCCACCGAGGGCGACGCCGCTGTCGACGTCGCAACTTCCCAGCGCCAGCTTACGGAGGATGTACCCAAGTGGCAGGCACAGGAGAAGTGGAGGAACACCAGCGTCCCCAAGTGCGTTTGTCGGTATCGAATTTTGATGGGTAGGTGTTGCTGGTCATACATACAAGATCGTTGTGAACCCGTGAGGGACACCAGTCCGGTTTTCATGTAGGCCAACAAACTCATGGGTGCCGCACGGTTCGTGGAGCATTCGTTTAGCGTAGTGACGCACAGCCACCCATTGACGGCGTTGGACGCGAACGATATTTATACCAACACATAGCACGGCCAAAAGACATGTGACTAGCGGGTATTGTGGCCAACTGCGATTGATTGTTTTCAGCGTACAAAGTTCTCTCCGGTTGTGCGTTATGTGCAAAGCGTACCATTGTTTTCACCCTTTTTAGGGATGCGGTAAAAAGATTGTCGTGGCACGCGTTGTACTGCACGACTCGATATAACGAATGCGTGCGAAACTGTTCGCTTTTGGTCAACACATAATATTGAGTATTGTCTGTGCCGTCGAACTTTTTGGCTGGTGTTGGTGCCGTGAAATAACTCCGCCGTGTGTACTCGGACTCCCGCCCGCGCATCGCACTAGGTGGAAGCGCAACCAGAAGTGGAAGAAGCAGTACGAGGACTCTTCGGATGAGGAAGGGTGAGTGCGTGTGGCTTGTCATGCTATCGTCGTCGGTGATTCGAAACGTTCAGGGAACCGTGTCGTGAAAGCCGCTGCCTTCGGCATCCATCCGCAGTGTGAAGCATAATTGGGGTTGACTAGTGTTGCGTGCCTTGGGACGCGCGTCGTGTAAACAATGTCCTCAACACGTTGACATCGCACGGTTTGAAAAAGGATCCGGTAAAATGGTTTTGCGCTCTGAAGACCGACGGTTATCATTAGGCTCGTCCGCGCAAACTATTGGCTACTCGAACGTACGCATCAACAAGCGGTCCTGCGAAGGAGAAAAATGGAGCTTTGAGCCAAAAAACGTAATTGACTTTGGGTTTGTGGCCTACGCGTCCATTCGAAGCCGGTGACCTTTCGTCACGTATTTTATCATTTGCCCCATTCTTGAGGCGAACGTTGCACAATGTAGAACCGAACGTGATGTACCTGCTGAATCGTACGTGATCCACCCTTTATACTACCCCCGTGCGCGGACATGCTCGACAGGTGCATGGACGGGTGCGAGTACACGAGCAAGGACGGCACCAGGGGACGCGTGTGCGACTCGAACTGCTCCAGCCCGAATGTGTACGGTACTCTCGGATGCGGCGCCAAGAACGGAAAGTACGGTGCGGACTGCCGCGCTTGCTACAACGACGACGAGAAGGCCCGCAAGCAGGACACGCCCGGGAACCGCGCGATCATGTGAGACGCATGGTGATGTGCATGGCTAGGCGTTGGGATACCCTGTTGCGGATGGATGTGCCTAGGCCAGCAGGCACGGTCGACCGCTGCTATAAGCAGCCAGTATACTTGAATGTTTTTCATCTTGAATGGCTTGCGGACAAGCTTGTCGGAACTAAGTAGTTGATGCACTTCCATCCGCTGCCGTTGCAGCCTTACCCGACACCCGAACAAGCGGCCTTGCACGACGAAGCTGAAGCAGAGTGCGCTCGTGACTCCGCCGTCTCGTCACTCGATCCTTGCCTGTTTCTCCGTGAACGATTGGCGTTTCTCGCCTCCACGCGCTTCTTTTACCCGATTGATCTTGATGGGCAGGTGCTCGACCAAGATGCCCGTGGACGTGTACGGCCGCCGCCTGACTCCCGCCGACGAGAGCAACCCTCTCCTTGTCGCCCGTGATCTGGAGGCCCTCCAGAAGGACGAGGTGCACCGCCAGCTTTCGGAGGATGTGCCGAAGTGGAGGGCACAGGAGAAGTGGAAGAACAACACGGTCCCCAAGTGCGTATTTCCTTCGGCACACATGAGGTTGTTGAGCGGACGAGTTCATAATGGTTTGTCGAAGCTTGTTGACAAAGGAAGACCTGAACACTATTGACTCTTGATTGGATATTTTAGCGATCGCTGTTGATATATAACGCAGTTTGATATTGTTCGATCGGCGACTATTGGCTGTGCGTCGATCGCTTCGGGACAATGCGACCCGTTCGTGTCCAGCAGGCTTTCGAGCGGCTATTGACCTTCTTGCTCTGTTTTGTTGTGTGCTGTCGCATCGCCGCAGGTGGAAGCGCAACCAGAAGTGGAAGAAGCAGTACGAGGACTCTTCGGATGAGGAAGGGTGAGTGACCTTGGCGTCTCGTGTTTTAAATTCCTTGCAATCTCAATACTGGGGTTGTTTACGCGTTGCGTTCGGAAGATGACCATGTTCCGCCGATGTCCCTGGCGCGTACAGAATCTAGATTGCTCAAGTTTTCTGTTTCTCACCCACGACAGGTGCATGGACGGGTGCGAGTACACGAGCAAGGACGGCACCAGGGGACGCGTGTGCGACTCGAACTGCTCCAGCTCGAACGTGTACGGTACTCTCGGATGCGGCGCCAAGAACGGAAAGTACGGTGCGGACTGCCGCGCTTGCTACAACGACGACGAGAAGGCCCGCAAGCAGGACACGCCCGGGAACCGCGCGATCATGTGAGACGCATGGTGATGTGCATGGCTAGGCGTTGGGATACCCTGTTGCGGATGGATGTGCCTAGGCCAGCAGGCACTGTCGACCGCTGCTATAAGCAGCCAGTATACTTGAATGTTTTTCATCTTGAATGGCTTGCTGACGAGCTCGTCGGAATTTGTACTTGATGCACTTGCAGGTGCTCGACCAAGATGCCCGTGGACGTGTACGGCCGCCGCCTGACTACCGCCGACGAGGTGAATCCTCTCCTCGTCGCCCGTGATCTGGAGGCCCTCCAGAAGGACGAGGAGCACCGCCAGCTTTCGGAGGATGTGCCGAAGTGGAGGGCACAGGAGAAGTGGAAGAACAACACGGTCCCCAAGTGCGTATTTCCTTCGGAAGACGTGAGGTTGTTTAGTGGACCAGTTAATAATTTTTTGTCGAAGCTTGTTTATACGTTAGCGATCGCTGTTGATAAAGAACGCAGCTTGATATTGTTCGATCGGCGAATATTGGTTGTGCGTCGATCGCTTCGGCACAACGCGACCCATTGGTGTTTCAGCATGCTGTCGAGCGTTCTTGACCTTCTTGCTCTTTTTTGTTATGTGCTGTCGCATCGTCGCAGGTGGAAGCGCAACCAGAAGTGGAAGGAAGCAGTACGAGGACTCTTCGGATGAGGAAGGGTGAGTGATCTTGGCATCTCGTCTCTGCGCTTGTTGAACCGAGAGCATAGATGGAAATATTTTGTGAACATCCGGCAACAGGTTCCGTTGCAGTGGTGACCAAAGCAATAGTCTTCGTGATATTATTCCCTTGCAATCTTAATACTGGAGTTGTTTACGCGTTGCGTTCGGAAGATGACCATGTTCCGCCGATGTCCCTGGCGCGTACAGAATCTAGATTGCTCAAGTTTTCTGTTTTTCACCCACGACAGGTGCATGGACGGGTGCGAGTACACGAGCAAGGACGGCACCAGGGGACGCGTGTGCGACTCGAACTGCTCCAGCTCGAACGTGTACGGTACTCTTGGATGCGGCGCCAAGAACGGAAAGTACGGTGCGGACTGCCGCGCTTGCTACAACGACGACGAGAAGGCCCGCAAGCAGGACACGCCCGGGAACCGCGCGATCATGTGAGACGCATGGTGATGTGCATGGCTAGGCGTTGGGATACCCTGTTGCGGATGGATGTGCCTAGGCCAGCAGGCACTGTCGACCGCTGCTATAAGCAGCCAATATACTTGAATGTTTTCCACTTCGAATGAGTTGCTGACGAGCTTGTCGGAACTAAGTAGTTGATGGACTTCCATCCGCTGCCGTTGCAGCCTTACCCGATACCCCAACACGCAGTGGCCTTGCACGACGAAGCTGAAGCAGAGTGCGCTCGTGACTCCGCCGTCATCCGTCACTCGATCCTCTGTCTTCGTGAACGATTGGCGTTTCTCGCCTCCACGCTTCTTTTACCCGATTGATCTTGATGGGCAGGTGCTCGACCAAGATGCCCGTGGACGTGTACGGCCGCCGCCTGACTCCCGCCGACGAGAGCAACCCTCTCCTCGTCGCCCGTGATCTGGAGGCCCTCCAGAAGGACGAGGTGCACCGCCAGCTTTCGGAGGATGTGCCGAAGTGGAGGGCACAGGAGAAGTGGAAAAACAACACGGTCCCCAAGTGCGTATTTCTTTCGAATGACGTGAGGTTGTTGAGCAGACGAGTTAATAATGGTTTGTCGAAGCTCGTTGATAAAGGAAGACCTGAACACTATTGACTCTTTATTGAAAATGGTTGATATTTGTTCGATCGGCGACTGTTGGCTGTGCGTCAATCGCTTCGGGACAATGCGACCGGTTGGTGTGCCTGCAGGCTGTCGAGAGGTTATTGACCTTCTTGCTCTGTTTCGTTATGTGCTGTCGCATCGCCGCAGGTGGAAGCGCAACCAGAAGTGGAAGAAGCAGTACGAGGACTCTTCGGATGAGGAAGGGTGAGTGATCTTGGCGTCTCGTGTTTTAAATTCCTTGCAATCTCAATACTGGAGTTGTTTACGCGTTTTGTTCGGAAGATGACCATGTTCCGCCGATGTCCCTGGCGCGTACAGAATCTAGATTGCTCAAGTTTTCTGTTTTTCACCCACGACAGGTGCATGGACGGGTGCGAGTACACGAGCAAGGACGGCACCAGGGGACGCGTGTGCGACTCGAACTGCTCCAGCTCGAACGTGTACGGTACTCTCGGATGCGGCGCCAAGAGCGGAAAGTACGGTGCGGACTGCCGCGCTTGCTACAACGACGACGAGAAGGCCCGCAAGCAGGACACGCCCGGGAACCGCGCGATCATGTGAGACGCATGGTGATGTGCATGGCTAGGCGTTGGGATACCCTGTTGCGGATGGATGTGCCGAGGCCAACAGGCACTGTCGACCGCTGCTATAAGCAGCCAATATACTTGAATGTTTTCCACTTCGAATGAGTTGCTGACGAGCTCGTCGGAATTTCTACTTGATGCACTTGCAGGTGCTCGACCAAGATGCCCGTGGACGTGTACGGCCGCCGCCTGACTCCCGCCGACGAGAGCAACCCTCTCCTCGTCGCCCGTGATCTGGAGGCCCTCCAGAAGGACGAGGTGCACCGCCAGCTTTCGGAGGATGTGCCGAAGTGGAGGGCACAGGAGAAGTGGAAGAACAACACGGTCCCCAAGTGCGTATTTCCTTCGGAAGACGTGAGGTTGTTTAGTGGACCAGTTAATAATTTTTTGTCGAAGCTTGTTTATACGTTAGCGATCGCTGTTGATAAAGAACGCAGCTTGATATTGTTCGATCGGCGAATATTGGTTGTGCGTCGATCGCTTCGGCACAACGCGACCCATTGGTGTTTCAGCATGCTGTCGAGCGTTCTTGACCTTCTTGCTCTTTTTTGTTATGTGCTGTCGCATCGTCGCAGGTGGAAGCGCAACCAGAAGTGGAAGAAGCAGTACGAGGACTCTTCGGATGAGGAAGGGTGAGTGATCTTGGCGTCTCGTCTATGCGGCTTGTTGAACCGAGAGCATAGATGGAAATATTTTGTGAACATCCGGCAACAGGTTCCGTTGCAGTGGTGGCCAAAGCAATAGTCTCTGATATTATTCCCTTGCAATCTTAATACTGGAGTTGTTTACGCGTTGCGTTCGGAAGATGACCATGTTCCGCCGATGTCCCTGGCGCGTACAGAATCAGATTGCTCAAGTTTTCTGTTTTTCACCCACGACAGGTGCATGGACGGGTGCGAGTACACGAGCAAGGACGGCACCAGGGGACGCGTGTGCGACTCGAACTGCTCCAGCCCGAATGTGTACGGTACTCTCGGATGCGGCGCCAAGAACGGAAAGTACGGTGCGGACTGCCGCGCTTGCTACAACGACGACGAGAAGGCCCGCAAGCAGGACACGCCCGGGAACCGCGCGATCATGTGAGACGCATGATGATGTGCATGGCTAGGCGTTGGGATACCCTGTTGCGGATCGATGTGCCTAGGCCAGCAGGCACTGTCGACCGCTGCTATAAGCAGCCAATATACTTGAATGTTTTTCGTCTTGAATGGCTTGCTGACAAGCTTGTCGGAACTAAGTAGTTGATGCACTTCCATCCGCTGCCGTTGCAGCCTTACCCGACACCCCAACACGCAGTGGCCTTGCACGACGAAGCTGAAGCAGAATGCGCTCGTGACTCCGCCGTCTCGTCACTCGATCCTTGCCTGTTTCTCCGTGAACGATTGGCGTTTCTCGCCTCCACGCGCTTCTTTTACCCGATTGATCTTGATGGGCAGGTGCTCGACCAAGATGCCCGTGGACGTGTACGGCCGCCGCCTGACTCCCGCCGACGAGAGCAACCCTCTCCTCGTCGCCCGTGATCTGGAGGCCCTCCAGAAGGACGAGGTGCACCGCCAGCTTTCGGAGGATGTGCCGAAGTGGAGGGCACAGGAGAAGTGGAAGAACAACACGGTCCCCAAGTGCGTATTTCCTTCGGAACACGTAAGGACACGTGAGGTTGTTGAGCAGACGAGTTCACAATGGTTTGTCGAAGCTTGTTGACAAAGGAAGACCTGAACACTATTGACTCTTTGTTGAATATTTTAGCGATCGCTGTTGATATATAACGCATTTTGATATTGTTCGATCGGCTACTATTGGCTGTGCGTCGATCGCCTCGGGACAATGCGACCCATTGGTGTCCAGCAGGCGTTCGAGCGGCTATTGACCTTCTTGCTCTGTTTTGTTGTGTGCTGTCGCATCGCCGCAGGTGGAAGCGCAACCAGAAGTGGAAGAAGCAGTACGAGGACTCTTCGGATGAGGAAGGGTGAGTGACCTTGGCGTCTCGTCTTATAAATTCCTTGCAATCTTAATACTGGGGTTGTTTACGCGTTGCGTTCGGAAGATGACCATGTTCCGCCGATGTCCCTGGCGCGTACAGAATCTAGATTGCTCAAGTTTTCTGTTTTTCACCCACGACAGGTGCATGGACGGGTGCGAGTACACGAGCAAGGACGGCACCAGGGGACGCGTGTGCGACTCAAACTGCTCCAGCCCGAATGTGTACGGTACTCTTGGATGCGGCGCCAAGAACGGAAAGTACGGTGCGGACTGCCGCGCTTGCTACAACGACGACGAGAAGGCCCGCAAGCAGGACACGCCCGGGAACCGCGCGATCATGTGAGACGCATGGTGATGTGCATGGCTAGGCGTTGGGATACCCTGTTGCGGATGGATGTGCCTAGGCCAACAGGCACTGTCGACCGCTGCTATACGCAGCCAGTATACTTGAATGTTTTTCATCTTGAGTGGCTCGCTGACAAGCTTGTCGGAACTAAGTACTTGATGCACTTCCATCCGCTGCCGTTGCAGCCTTACCCGATACCCCAACACGCAGTGGCCTTGCACGACGAAGCTGAAGCAGAGTGCGCTCGTGACTCCGCTGTCATCCGTCACTCGACCCTTGCCTGTTTTCCGTTTACGATTGGCGTTTCTCGCCTCCATGCTTCTTTTACCCGTTGATCTTGATGGGCAGGTGCTCGACCAAGATGCCCGTGGACGTGTACGGCCGCCGCCTGACTCCCGCCGACGAGAGCAACCCTCTCCTCGTCGCCCGTGATCTGGAGGCCCTCCAGAAGGACGAGGTGCACCGCCAGCTTTCGGAGGATGTGCCGAAGTGGAGGGCACAGGAGAAGTGGAAGAACAACACGGTCCCCAAGTGCGTATTTCCTTCGGAACACATGAGGTTGTTGAGCAGACGAGTTCATAATGGTTTGTCGAAGCTCGTTGATAAAGGAAGACCTGAACACTATTGACTCTTTATCGAAAATGTTGATATTGTTCGATCGGCGACTGTTGGCTGTGCGTCGATCGCTTCTGCACAAAGCGACCCATTGGTGTGCCTGCAGGCTGTCGGGAGGTTATTGACCTTCTTGCTCTGTTTTGTTATGTGCTGCCGCATCGCCGCAGGTGGAAGCGCAACCAGAAGTGGAAGAAGCAGTACGAGGACTCTTCGGATGAGGAAGGGTGAGTGATGTTGGCGTCCGTCTTTTAAATTCCTTGCAATCTTAATACTGGGGTTGTTTACGCGTTGCGTTCGGAAGATGACCATGTTCCGCCGATGTCCCTGGCTCGTACAGAATCTAGATTGCTCAAGTTTTCTGTTTTTCACTCACGACAGGTGCATGGACGGGTGCGAGTACACGAGCAAGGACGGCACCAGGGGACGCGTGTGCGACTCGAACTGCTCCAGCTCGAACGTGTACGGTACTCTCGGATGCGGCGCCAAGAACGGAAAGTACGGTGCGGACTGCCGCGCTTGCTACAACGACGACGAGAAGGCCCGCAAGCAGGACACGCCCGGGAACCGCGCGATCATGTGAGACGCATGGTGATGTGCATGGCTAGGCGTTGGGATACCCTGTTGCGGATGGATGTGCCTAGGCCAACAGGCACTGTCGACCGCTGCTATAAGCAGCCAATATACTTGAATGTTTTCCACTTCGAATGAGTTGCTGACGAGCTCGTCGGAATTTCTACTTGATGCACTTGCAGGTGCTCGACCAAGATGCCCGTGGACGTGTACGGCCGCCGCCTGACTCCCGCCGACGAGAGCAACCCTCTCCTCGTCGCCCGTGATCTGGAGGCCCTCCAGAAGGACGAGGAGCACCGCCAGCTTTCGGAGGATGTGCCGAAGTGGAGGGCACAGGAGAAGTGGAAGAACAACACGGTCCCCAAGTGCGTATTTCCTTCGGAAGACGTGAGGTTGTTTAGTGGACCAGTTAATAATTTTTTGTCGAAGCTTGTTTATACGTTAGCGATCGCTGTTGATAAAGAACGCAGCTTGATATTGTTCGATCGGCGAATATTGGTTGTGCGTCGATCGCTTCGGCACAACGCGACCCATTGGTTTTTCAGCATGCTGTCGAGCGTTCTTGACCTTCTTGCTCTTTTTTGTTATGTGCTGTCGCATCGTCGCAGGTGGAAGCGCAACCAGAAGTGGAAGAAGCAGTACGAGGACTCTTCGGATGAGGAAGGGTGAGTGATCTTGGCATCTCGTCTATGCGCTTGTTGAACCGAGAGCATAGATGGAAATATTTTGTGAACATCCGGCAACAGGTTTCGTTGCAGTGGTGGCCAAAGCAATAGTCTCCTGTGATATTATTCCCTTGCAATCTTAATACTGGAGTTGTTACGCGTTGCGTTCGGAAGATGACCATGTTCCGCCGATGTCCTTGGCTCGTACAGAATCTAGATTGCTCAAGTTTTCTGTTTTTCACCCACGACAGGTGCATGGACGGGTGCGAGTACACGAGCAAGGACGGCACCAGGGGACGCGTGTGCGACTCGAATTGCTCCAGCCCGAATGTGTACGGTACTCTCGGATGCGGCGCCAAGAACGGAAAGTACGGTGCGGACTGCCGCGCTTGCTACAACGACGACGAGAAGGCCCGCAAGCAGGACACGCCCGGGAACCGCGCGATCATGTGAGACGCATGATGATGTGCATGGCTAGGCGTTGGGATACCCTTCTGCGGACGGTTGTGCCGAGGCGGGCAGACAACGTCGAACGTTGATGGGCAGCCATTACACTTCTCGTTTGGCCCTCGCCCCCCCTTTTCTCCCTTAACCATGGGCATCAATCTCTTCGCCTGCGCCTCCTGTCGCCCGATTCGCTTTTTCCTGATCGGGACAGGTGCTCGACCAGAGAGCCGGTCGACGTCTACGGCCGCCGCCTGTCTGGCCACCAGGACTTCTCTCTTGAGCTCGCACGGCTAACGGAAGCCGAGAACAGCGAGGACGAGGACTCGGAGGACGGCTTTGAGCCTCGCGTGGACGTCGAGGTTGGCGGTAGGGAGAAGGCGGTCCGCTTCTTCGAGGCGGCGGCAGAGCGGACGTACCTCGGCGAAGTGGAGCGCGGCAACCTGTGCGCCTTCGTCAGCGGTTGGGCGGGCGAGGAGGCCATGTGGGAGGTGACCGTGAAGAGCATCCTGCAGTTCATGCCGGGCATGAAGGTGGCTGTCGCTGCTGAGGCGGAGGGACTCGACGCATACGAGAGGTACTACTGGTGTTGGTAGTGTGATACAGCTATGTAGGGTACGTGTACAATACCTCCCTTACACCATGTTTGCTCGTGTGTGCGTGCGTGTACTTGGTTGGAATCACGAGAGAGTCTCGAGATTTACACCATGTTCCTCTTTGGTATCCAGCGCTCGAGGCATGAGAGTGTTGTGTAGTAGAACTCGCCGCCTTCCGTGTTTAAAAAATGAAAAATGTCGTCCACTTTCTGCTGCTCCCTCGCTCGCTGGAAATTCTAGGTCCATGGGCCGTCTTCCCGGCGTCACGGTTTCCGGCACCCAGAACCCCGCCACGGCGACCTTGTACGCGGACAAGTACTGCTCCTTCAGCGAGCTTATCCTGTACGTCAAGCCGGGGTCCGTTCTCTCCCGGTCCTTCACCTCCAAGGACACCCACTCCCCGCGGGGCGACCTCCTGGTCGTGCACGCGGGCTCTCAGGGGAGCTACCACGACACGGAGCTGAGCCGCCGCTCGGCGTCGGTGCTCGGGTTCGAGGCGCCGTCCTTCACGCAGGGTACCGACCTGATGCTGCCGGGAGATGCGAACTACTACCTAAGGGAGGCGCTCGGGTTGAAGATTGGTTCCGACGGCCTGCAGGGAGACGGAGACGGGGATGCCGTGATCGCGCTTCAGAAGTTCGTTGACTTCGACCAGGTCTCCGCCGTCCCTCAGGTATGTACGGCGTGTGTCTTCGGGTGGTGCGTGAAAGTTGTCGCGTCATCAACATGGCGTGTTTTTGTTTTTTGTCTTCCGTCTTTTTGCGAATCTGTTGCACGTACAGCCTTTGGGCATGTGTTGTACTGCTACCAATCCGAACGTCGTCGCCGACAGTGACGCCGGTTTTGTTGCGAAACCCCTCATTTCGCACGTATCAGGTGCTGGCCGCGGTCGCCTACTCCCGCGAAACGCCCGGAGTGTGGTTCATTGACCCCCGTGGTTGGGTGGGCCAGAACCTCTTCAAGGAGGCGTCCATCTGGGACATCCCCCTAGTCAAGCCCCGCTTTACCTGCACCATCGCCGCGGACAAGCTGGACTCCGCAAGCCCCAAGACTGCCGAAACGTTGCAAAGCAGCGTGGACTTTTTTGCGAATGGCGGGAAGTGCGCCAACGGCCTGATCGCAGCCGCGCCGTAGGCCGGAAACGTACGCCCGGCAGCCAAGTTTAGCTTTGGCGCGTTTTTGGTGACCCAATTCATGGTGTGCGTTATATCCTGCGCGCGCGTGTACGTATATGGTAGCCGACCCTTACTCGCTCTAGGTTTGATGGAAATGTCACGCCGACCTGCTTGTACGGTATCTTCGACTTTGGTAGGGTTGTACTTTTTACCGTCAAAGTTGTCAGGGTCACTTTGAATTTAGGTTATTTTACACCAGCGCCACCTTGGCTAGCGTGCGTGTGTTTCATGGGAAGGTCCCCGTCTCGTTTTTTTTTTGGGCGCCTAGTTCTTTTCGGAACAACTGCTGTACTATAGTGTGCGACGTTTTGAATAGTAGCGAGCACGCGGCACTACTGTACCACGCCTTGACCACGCCTTGCATGGTTCCTTCTCCCGCCCGGCGATAGTGTTGAACGCTGCCGTCGGGATTCTTGAGCGATCCGTCATGGAAGATCGTCAGGTTAAAGGGGGGGTAGATTTGTATCCCATTTCGTTTTTCTATTCGTGCCCGACCGGGCAACCTGCCGGTGTGTGTTTTTTGTTGCTGGTTGACTTGTGCGTGCGTTGATTCGTGAGAGGACGTTGCGTGTCTGTCGGAAGTCATAGGAAAGTTAATAGTCATGGATGTGCGCGGAAGTAGGGACAACAACTGAAGATACATACTTGTATTGCAGTCGTTTGCCGTAGGCAGCACCACTGTGTAGTGTTGGTTCCTTTTCCACGGAACACGCCGATATTTTGTGTGTTTTTTCTGCGGAAGTCACAGCTCGTTTTTCTGTGTAAATTTTGTTTTGACAGGTTGTGTATCACTAGTTGTGAAAAAGTGTTGTGCTGAGGTCGTGAGCTCATGTTTTCCCGTAGAAAGTGCGCACTTGCAACTTTTGCCCCAAGCCTGTGATGGCAGGAGGAATGCTACCTGTTTTTCCATGTCTTTGGACTAGTGTTTCGTGTCTGCGTTTCAAAGTGTTTTGTTGAGGTTGAAATGATCACCGGCATCCGTTAATTTTTTTGCAATTTTTTTTAGAATACCCCGAACCGCTCCCAAGCCGCTCTCGGGTACTTATTTCCGTGTGTCCCGACCCGCATTGTTTGGTCGCACACCGAAATTTATTCGCCGTATGTGAGTGGGTTCTGGGCAGGACAACAAGTGGCAGGCCTATTATAGGACAGAAAAACCTCGTGTGATTCGCCGAGCTTGGCACAGAAGCAATGAGGGGGCTGAGCCAAGGACACACGACAATAATAGTTTTGGGGCTGGATAGAGTGTGCGTGGATGTATGTATTTCGAGAGAGAACCCAAACGGCGTAGGCATCAGTCTAATGTGAACATTCAAACGAACTCAATTGAACATGAACGAGAAACTGCTTTCAAATGCGAGTGAGAGAGCAATACTAGTCGCAATGCACCAAGGAGCGTGTAGTATGCGTCAGTCAGTCATCGCAAGAAGAATGATAAAATAAACTAGGGTTAAGGAATGGCCCCCCGCCCCGCAATGGGGCTGGGGTCCAACATCCAGGACGGATGGTGGTGAGTGTCCGGGAGGAAGGAAAGAAGAAGGGGAGAAGAGTTGTTGGGGCGGGAAGAAGGGACGGTGTTGGGAGAGGCAAGGAAGTGGTGAAGAATTTCGGCACTCGACGAGCGCGCGGTCCCGTCGGGGGTGAAAGGGAAATGTCAGCCCGTAGTCTTGTCTCTATCGGAATCGAAAAGCCGAAAAATCGAGGTATACAATATGTACATAACGGAGAAGGCCGACGAGGAAGGTACGAGGAGAGGAAATTGCACCCCACGTTCGAGTTCGGTGTGAAAACCGCCGCAAGGAAGGAGTGCGGAGGGAACAAAAAAAAAACGGAGACGTCGACGTTTGCGTCGTGGAACCATCCTTCCGTATAACGCAGGTACTCACCAGTGCAAACAAAGAGAGAGGTAAAATACCCACAAACACTTCAGCGACGATGGCAAGCGCAACGTCAAAACTTCACAGGAAGAAAAGTGCATACAAAAAAAGAAAAGGCCGGATGCCGACCTGTGGCTCTCTCGGAATGGAGGGATTCCCACAATTTCCAACCGGCAATCCACAAATTAGTACGGACATATGAAGTTACTGGGTAGAGAGAGATCGGTTTTTCATGTGAAGACGACAGACAACAACAACAACAATGAATGATGAAGGTCGACCCGTCCTGCGTCGTTCGGTGTAAAATGATAAATGCGAAAGGTGGACTGCGTAAAGATCCAGCGGTCTTTTTCGGCAGTGGGAAAGAAATATGCAACCACATGTCGCAAAGAAAAAAAAAGTTGAGCGGGATACTCTAGAAATTTTTTGCTCTGGTTCACTTTTTTGCCTCCACAACCCGAGAATCCCACTGCTGTATCTCGACCTACAAGACTCCAATCAACAAACCAGCACTGGAAGAAGTGCGTGGAAGATGCTGTGACAGCACAAGACAACTAAGTCGACACTCGTACGACTTCCATGTACAGTCGGCGTCTGGTCCATACTGCTGTAGAAATACTAAAATCGAGCCATCTTTTTATTTTTTTTCCATATAAATAACAAGAAATGTATTACGTCACGACGACCATCCTGTGAGTATATATATACTAACGTGATTATACTCGTGGTATACCAAGATTTCTTTCAACAAGTGAGGAAGAGAAGGGATCTCAAATCGCGGTGCACCAAAGGGGCGTGCAGCATGTGTCTCACGAAGAACGACATCTCATCTTCCGCTCGTTCCCCCGGCGACTCATTATTATTCTGAATAATGAAAAAAAAGTGAATGAACACACACGTCGCTGTCTGTGCCGTGTCTGGCATTTTATATTGCGTTTGTGTCCCACAGCAGCAGCAGTTGTCCCTTGATCCGATTTGACAAGAAACTCGTGGTCACTCACTACCCCGGCTGGGAAGCAGCCCTCTCACAACATGAAACTAGTGGGGGCTCGCTATCAATCCCATGCCTAAAAAACAGGCCATCTGGCGAGTCTTTTGGTTCGGACCGACAAGTTGTTCACTTGTTGTGCAACCCTATGTTTGTCTTCGCCACCGCACCTTTTTCAAGCAAGGTGTTCAGACCCAGAGCGGTTGCGGATTGGAGAGCCACCAATTCATTCTTTTTTTTCATTTCTCCTTCGTTTCATGCTCTCTTCCGCATAATAAAAGCTAAGTCAGTGCAACGAAGACGTTATTAGAATATTCCAGCATTTCTTATGTATTTACAAGGTCTCCCTTCGGGACGTGGGTGTCTACCCTTCTTCAGGTGACGCAAGACCACATGTATGTATGTGCATTGCCCGAAGAGGGACTGTGTGTCTTACAACGCTTGCATTTCCGCACAAAACAGCGTGCACGTTGTTATTCTACATTGAATGGAGCCAGCTCGAGCGGACAATATTTTTGGCAGCGCAAGACTTCCATGACGTCTATGATTGATGATGGCAGATTTCCGATGAGATCCGAATTTATTTGAAGCCGAACAACACCACAATGGGACATGTTCATCACTGCGGCTGGATGCATGTTCTCAGACTTGTCTACACTTGGCCCGCTGCGAAGTGTAGTAAACGTAGGTACCCGCTGATGGACAATCAATGCGATGACACGAAGAGTCATAGCCATGAATAATCGAATGGATGAATGAATGAATGAAAGTGGAGAAGCAAGAGGCACATACATACTACTACAAAATATTTGCCTCTCCACGTTCATTTCGTTCTTCCATTCATTCATTCGATGATTCATGGCTGGCGGTGACTCTTCGTGTCATCGCGTTGTGCAACAACAGCAGTACCTCCGTTTACGGCACTTCGCAGCGGGCCAAGTGTAGACAAGTCTGAGGGCATGCATCCAGCCGCAGTGTTGAACATTTCCCATTTGTGGTGTTGTTTCGGCTTCAAATTTGGGTCTCATCGGAAATCTGCCATCATCAATCAAAGAAGTCATGGAATTCTGAGTTTTCGCTGCCAAGATATTGTCCGCTCGAGCTGGCTCCAATGTAGAAAAATAACGTGCGTGCGCGATGTTTTGTGCGGAAATACAAGCGTTGTAAGACACACAGTCCCTCTTCTGGCAATGCGCATGTGGTCTTGCGTCACCTGAGGGAGGGTAGACACCCACGTCCCGAAGGGAGACCTTGTATTATATGTACAATATATCTGCATATCATTTATCCAGACAAGACAACAACCAATTAACCCAGACGGAATATTGAATGGTATTCACATTTACATAGGTAGGTATAACATAGATTACATACATTCACCATGCATGCATGGTGATTGTTTTGAATACTTTGTGCCTCTCAAACAGAGGGAAAAATGAGGTCACTAGTCTATTGTATGTACAACGAGCTGTTCTTTGGCAACTATCTACTATCTACAGTATAAATATTTCATAGCTAGCTATCGAAATCTGTTCATCGATGGCAGACAGCGACGTTTGTGGTGGTATTCATTGCCACCAACAGTAAGCAGTTCGGATGTTTCTGAACGGATCAGGATCGGTCACACGGGAGTGAGTGAGTCCCAGTATATGACTCTTTCTGCCCGTCTTTACTGCGCCGACGGTTCTACAATAATAATAGCCGAAATACTAATTGTGCCCAGCCAGCCGCGTTAAGCAATTGCCTTCACAATATATATATATTCGAACAGACAGGTAGCTGCGCTCTTGCACAGTATGTACAGGAAGATATCGATCGATCACAACAAACAATAATATAGTAATATTGTCCACATCACTATTGTTTGGCAACAATATTCATTTGGAGGAGAGAGTAATCGCTCGTGTGACAGGCCTAAATTCGAACAGCCTTCCACGCGCGGTACAGGGAAAAATGACCTTTAACCTGATGCACGTACATGATGAGTGGAGATGACTGGCTGCGGTTTACGACTGACTTCCTACACTGCCATCGAGGTGATGATCGTCAACGCTCACGGGTGATACCCGCTTCAGAAAATAAATGTAAATGCAGCACCAAGTTTCATATATGTTAGAGTGATGCTACGGAATAATGTTGGCCACACACAGCAGTTAGTTGGGGTGAAATCATGGACGCTGGTGGTGGTGCGGCCATAAGGAAGGGCTTGTCAAACTCCACCTTGCCTCCCAGGTACGTACGAATCAGTACACTCGCTAGGGGCAGAATAAATAAAGAGATCGCAGAGTGTGCCTCCTTACCCGAAAGGGAAACTGACGTATCGCACATCACTCACTCACGGTCACGCAATGCTTCCAGTGAATACAGAACTACGTAGTAACTGCCGTGGGCTCTGGTGCGATTTCACGAGTAGGCGGAGCCCTATCCGCCCCTGCCCTGAAAGGGTGCTTGCTCGGGAGATACCTCGAATAACAACAGTGAGTGGCAACACGAACGATTGTCTCTAACCAATGTATCTGTATTGCGGGCCAGCGCTTCACGTCGAAAAAAAAGCCGACAAATCGTCGACAAACAGCACACATACTTGTATGTCGTTAGCGACACGAAAACCTCCGCTGCTACAGTTTGTATCATTATTGCCTCATTCCCTGAAGTCTTCAGTCGCGCGCCAACACGCCCACCTTTTAGACGTATGTATGCCTCTATCAAGTCGAATCGGACTACTAGTTTGTACTGTACACATACATAGCATGCTCAAATACTCTTCTTCTTGGCGTAGACCACAACAACACAGCCAAGTGCAAAATCGAACAAACAAGCACCCCACCACCACAACGCAGCACAACGAGCGTCTATTATGATCGATCATGTTTGTTTGTTGAAGCCAAGAGATTTTGATTCTCCTACTACCTGGCGACAACGATTCATTACAAAGAGTTTCCTACAGCTCTTTCTTCTAGAATGTCAATCAATGGCTTCATGTCCTGTACCAATACTCTTGAAAGAGCAGAGATCGCCTGTCGCGCGCAGCTCTTCTTGCGAACGAAGCAAAAAACAAACGGCAACAGTCCGACGGTTTTTCACATAAATTATATATATACAGACGGTCACCGGTCTCTGATCAGCACCTTCTAGCTCCCACACCGGTCCAACTGACGCGGACACCTTCCTTGTCCATTTTTTGAAGCACGGGCCAACTCCTAGAAAGACTACTATTTACCCGAAAAGGGTACATACACACTTCGAATATAAATTAATAACAAAATAGGGACCACCCCAGAAACGCCAGCACCTCATACACACGCGACGACAGAAAAAAAAAAAAAAAACACAGCGCAACTAAAAACGCCCCCAGCCAGCCAGCAGTCGGACATCGCTGGCGACATAATAATATCGGGCAAATAAACAAAAAGATTGTATGATGTTCCCGCTCGGCATGGGATGCCCCCCAACAACTTTTTCACATTGTATATTCTACTGTACAACAGCTGCCTGGTGCACGATCACATGATTTCGAGTGCCCACAGAAAGCATTTGCTCGCCTTCTACAGTACATGGACGTCCCGCACCGAACGTTCGCGGTGCCAAACCTCATGTCGCACTTTTCTAAAGTCCAGTTCCGAAGAAGCCAGACCCTTAAAACTGCAGGACCTTGCAGCCAAATTGGTCGACGACCAGATGTATGTTCGCTGTACGTGGCCGATCACGCAACAGCATGCTATCGATTGGCAGAAAACAAAACTCCTCCACGACAACCACCGGAAACGAACAAAAGCCGTTCGGGTGACGACTCAACAAAGACGACACAACCAACCACACCCGGACCCGGACCCTAACAAAAACAAAAAGTCCTATTGACTCCGGCAGTACGTAAATAGTTCTACATTCAGTAGTCTTCACGCCCTTGACGAAGACACGTCCGAGATGCTCTCGTACTGCGAGCCGCCGCTCGTCCTCCGCCCGCGGTCACGGCCCGTCCCGATCACGCCGCCGCTGCCAACGGCCCCCGTCATCCTCCAAGGCGACGCCTCCTCACTCGTGCCCGCGCGCGCCGCGAAGTAGGGGGGAGGAGCCCCGCCCGCCCGGTGGTGGATGCTGTTGAGCCGCCCGGTGCGCTCGAGAAAGCCGTAGACGATGGCGGCGACGGCCGCGAATGCGGCGGCTACGGAGGCCCAGACGATGGTCGTGCACCGGCCTGTTACTCCGATTCATTGGCAA